ACAAGGAGCAAGCTTTTTTTTTCAGTGCTTATAGTTTATGCAAATTAGACATGTGGTTTTATTTTTCATTTCTGTAAAACGTAAACAAATGTGCATAAAGCTGCTTTAAACACATTATTAGTCAGTCTATATTTGAGTCGTCCTCATAGGAAATAAAAAACTTAAATGATCCACCCACATTCACATTCATAATCCACATTCACCAAGACAGGGAGGCAACGCCGGGCGAATTACGCCACAATCTGCCAATGGATCGTGGACGCCTGGGCTAAGGGATCAGTCTCAAGTGTCGTCCCTTTGTTTTGCTTAATGTGCCTTATAATCCGGTGCACCTCCATTCATCCATCCATCCAGATCAAGTTACAGGTCAGATCTGTGGAGAGGTGACCCCACTCTGTCACAGTCAGAATTCCCATTTTTCTAGATATTTTTGAGCTAAAAAAGCAAAACAAAAAACACGTATAATTGAATAAATTTAAAGTAGAGCTGTTTAATGTCATACTGTGGAACATTTCAGACAGGGCAATGACATATCTGCAGAAACAAGCAGGTGACGGGCCCCCAACCATAAAATTACATAGTGCATCTTTAATGAAATGTGACAAATGTGAATGAAATTAAAGAAAAATACTAACACTGTGGAGTAGGGATGTAACAATAACCAAAATATCGTGATATCGTATCGTAAAAGGTCTCACAATAATATCGTGGGCTGTCAAAATATATCGGATCACAAGTTAATTTGAGTAAATGCATTAGTTTATGGTAGTAACAGCTAAGAAATATAGGAAACTACATATCCCATCATTCATTTCAGTGCAGAAAACATGAAGAAATATGTTAATTCTTGGGATTATTACAGTATTGCTTTGCATTGAGTCTTGTTAAGGTATTTTAAAAGCAATAAGTATCCTTTCTACAATAGCTTCTGGGCCCGGTCAAGCAGAAGTAAACTGCAAGGCCAAAAATTCAAGTTAATGCATCTGATATAAAAGATGTATTCAACAGATACATATGTACTCTAGTTTATGAAACTGTTTACCTTTTTTCTGTACCATTTTTGGTTCTAAAGTTACATACGTTTTAAACAGACCATGTATGAAACATGGAACAAAAATTATTTCCCAAATTTCAAAGACCTGCAAATCATGTAAATAAATGGATGTATTTCATCATATCTTGTGTTATTCCATCTTTGAACTGTTGATGGAGGTACATGATTTTTTTTTTTTTTATGTATTTAAAATGATAAAAATTTGCTTGGAAGGACTGACATATTTTATAGAAATATTGTTTCCTTTCATTTTGAAGTAATATTAAAGTATTCAGAAGAAAAAAGCAACAAATTATGTAAAATCCTGCACCTTCTACTTGCTTGCAGTTTTCCCTCCGTTACTTTTCCCTCCGTTACCATGACCTTTCTTAATAAAAAATCTCATTACTCAAAAAGTAAGAGGTTTTTCAACCTAATCTTGTACCATATGGTAGAAAACTATATGAAGCAAATATTCAAACCAGTTTGTTAAGGATATGTAAGTGAGAACCACTAGTTATCACTGTTTGTATTTATTGCCCAAAAAAGTGCTGCATATTTCATTCCCTCCGTTACCGACATGAGTTTTAAAATTTTTTGTCAACAACTTGAAAGAATATCACAGGTTTAACTTGACCCTGTTGGAGTGTAACTCTTTCCTACATTCTGATACTTTACTTATTTCAATAGTCCCTCTAGTTTCTGAATAAGAGACATTTGAATGTCAAAAAAATCTGCCCGTTTCCCTCCGTTACCGTTCCAAAATATTGCAATAAATATCGTAATGTGAGATGCATATCGTGATAATATCATACCGAGAGATTTTGATATCTTTACATTCTTATTGTAGAGTGGTGGCAGAGGTTTCCACCAAACTGTAGCTTTAGATTCAAACAGAATGTAAAAGAGACTGGCTGGTCAGGAAAGTTTTATGTCAGGGAAAAGATTGTGCACAAAATGATGAAGTTGAGTAAAACATTCCCACTTTAGATATGGACCGTCTGTCACTCAGCTCTGCCCGGCCCACGTAATCATCTGGGCGAGACTCAGATGAGATATGGAAATACTTCTATGAATATTTTAGCGACCAAACTTTCCCTGCAAGTTGTTATAGTTCCTCTTGATTGGTTCTGAAACATCTTAAGCGCTTTGAATATTACGCTATTTTCAGATCTATGTTATAACGTAGTTTTCTCAAATAGTAGTTTTCGCAAAATGGACTCGGAGTTGTGTTTTGTTTCATTCACACATGTTTAACACACAAATCCTGCATATTTAGGCTTAGAAGTTCTTCTCGCAAACAGAAAACACTCTGTTCCACCTCACGATGTGGTGATATAGGACGTGCCCCACTGTGTTTTTAAACTCTGTACACCTTCACTAGAATCATTTGGATAATTTCAGCCCTGGAATTGCTGAAGAAATGGTAAAATGTAGCTGTTAACTCAAAAACAAGGTGGAATAGAGCAGACTGATCATGCTGGATTACTCAAACATGTGTGAATAAAATGAAACACAAGTCCAGGTCTGTTTTTGAGGAGGTAATGACATTCTAGCAGGGCTTAAAAAGGACTTACAAGACTCCGTTTTGCACAATATGTGACCATTAAGTGGAAAGATGTAAGCTAAGAAATGCCCAAACTGGAAATCTATACATTTTACTGATACCAAGCTCTGACAAGAAGCATATAAGCAGTGATTTATTGCCCATTGAAAGAGCCGTACTAGATGTTTTTACCTTCTTAAAAGTGTGAAAAGCAGAACTGGTTTATTTTTAACGATTTACAGTGGTGCAAAGTTATTCTTCACTTTCTTAAAGGTGACTGCACAACTTTTCTGGTTGCAGTCACACTACTGCATGTTATTACTGTGCCTGGGCTAGAGTTGCCAGGGATGCAGAGGCGGAGCTACTATTAGGCAACAGTAGGCGGCCTCCGAGGGGCCCCGAGACTGGAGGGGGCCCCAACCAATTGCCCCTCAGTGCCACTAATGTCTAGTGTTGGGGAGTAACAGATTACATGTACTGGAGTTACGTAATCAGAGTACAAATTATGAGTAACTGTATTCGGTTACAGTTACTGTTTCAGTGAGTGGTAATTGGATTACAGTTACTTGGTTGAAATAAATGGATTACACAGAGGTATTTTCCTGTTTTCACATTTTGGGCTATATCCCTTTATTTTTTTTATTTTTTTTCCCCCGGTAATTCCACTCATTGCCGGACACTAAACCAGGACTAAACCAGGTATAAAACAGGTCTAAAACCAGGTCTAAACTAGGTCTAAACTAGGTCTAAACCAGGACTAAACCAGGTCTAAAACAGGATTTAACAGGACTAAACCATGCTGCGCGGACCATGTCTCCTCTTCTATCAATAATATTTTTTATACGGTTAAGTAAAGTCTGGGCTTTTCATAGTTTTTTTATCAGACAAAACATCTCATGTGAAGATTTCCTCGTCTTTGCTTCTCTAGAGAAAATCAAGTAATCCAAAGCATTCAGATTATGTTCCTCACTTTAAGTAATTTAATGGATTCCGTTACAAACTACATTTTGGGGTATGTAATCTGCAATCTGTAGGGGAATACATTTTAAAAGTAACCTTCACAACACTGCTAATGTCCAAGGCCTCAGAGCAATTTGATTTTCTCTCAGTATGGCATTAAATGAGAGTAGTTTACTTTAAAACAAATAAACACCATCAAAATAGTATCTGATTGTCAAATCTATTTTAACTGTCAAAGCGTTTCCCCCCGTTCATGTTGGAATGGACGAGTCAGCTTGGCCCTGATTTAAACATAATTACAGCATAATCATAATCATATGTAATGGATGTAAACATAAATGTAATTGTACTAGTAGGGGTGGGCGATATCGATATTTTAAATGATATTTTTTAAACTCGATATGGATTCAGACATATCGTATGTATCGATATAATGCTCATATTCAATTCTGATTTCGCCGCTTCGCTTGTTTGTCTTCTCTGTGGTTGCCTCCACGCGCCCCCTCCCCCCCTCCCTGATTTTGCTGCGTGTCTCATTCTCTCCTCACTACCACCGTGAACACCGAAAGTTGCTGCCAGTGAAAAACTTCAAGCACCACGAACCTTTTCTACCATTTACAGACAAGGCCATCAGCAGCACATCCTCATATTCCACTGAGTGGTGTCCTTTAGTCCAAAAGAAGCTGAACGGCTTGAGAGGCACAAGGAGTGCACTGTTTAAGCAAATTAGCCATGGAGTTTTAAGTTTTGTTTCTGTAAAACGTAAACACATGTGTGTAAAACTGCATTAAGCACATTATAATCTCAAACAGGCTGATATATTTTTTTCTCCAGATCGCCCAGCCCTGTGTACTAGTAAAAAAACAAAACTACTTTCAGCTCTGGTTATCAAGTAGGCTGCTGAACTAAAAAGATAAGTTTTCAATTTGCCCTAATTCAAATAGAGATGTGTGTGTCTCAAGAACAATGGGGAAAAACAGACCATAAATATTAAAAAAAAACTGAAATGGTTTGGCACAAATACATGTACCGTTACACCTCTATAATTTTGCATATCCAAAATATTACATCTCCCATCTGAATGGCATGGTAAAGTTACCAACAGCCAGCATGCAAACGGCACACTTCCTGGTTTACGGATGATAAAAATGCCAAAATAATTAGATGTGAACACACAACACACACAATCAAAGCACCAAACTATTACTTATCACAGGGAAAAGAAGTTACATATTTTGTTCTGAATGTTATGAGAATTTCCGAAAGAAGATGTCTAACGGATTTGAGGGACATGTGAAATTGGACAGATTTTTTTACGCTCTATGATCCGGTTCCAGTCTCTTCTGGATTTGAACAGACTGGCTGGTCAGGTCACCAAATTGCGCTGTACAAATAAACTTGCCTTACTGTCACTACTATAAATTGATCTTTTTGATGTGTTTTTTTCTTGTGATTGAACAGTGCCTCCTGACGATCCGGTGATAGTCGGAGCTCCTGTGGTGAGCCTGAGAGCCGGGGATCACCTGAACCTCACGTGCCACGCCGACAACGCCAAACCTGCCGCCTCCATCATCTGGATCCGGAACGGGCTGGTGCTGAGCGGGGCCATGTACTCCAAGGTAAGGCCTGGGGTCCACTTGTACGACTGCTTATTCCAATGGCTAAAAAAATACAAAAAAGTGGTATTAAAAGGCCTGTATTACGCTGATCTTTGTTATAATGTTGTTCCCTCATCACAAACAGACCTGGAGTTGTGTTTTGTTTCATTCACACATGTTTAACACACAAAACCTGCAGATTTAAGCTGAATATCTCAAACGGGAAACACTCTTGTGATGTCATGTGGTAATACAGGAAGTACTCCACTGTGTTTTTAAACTCCATACACCTTCACTAGAGTCATTTGGATAATTTCAGCCCTGAAATTGCCAACCTCTACTGAACAAAAAAATAAAAGGTAGCTGTTAACTTGAAAACTAAAACTACATGACAGAGCATTTTGAGTTCTGGAGCATATAGACTAACAATTGCCACATTTACACGAGAGCTTTAATTCTGAATAAAAGTAATTTAATTGTGAATAAAACTGATTCTGCTTTAAAAAGACGATGTAAACCAGGGGTGTCCAAACTTTTTTCATCAAGCGCCACATATCTAAACACAAAGCAGTGGGCCGTAGACTAGAGCTCAGTACAGCGAATAACTGAAATATGTGTATGTTTAAACACGTTAGAATGAACCATCAGTCTTTATTCATGCTAAGATCCTTAAAACCACACACTAAATATTAAAAACTGGCTTTATCAAGGTAGATTTTCAAAAAACTTGCAGTAAAAAGTTTACTTTTCATTGATGCAAGGCAATTTGGACCAATTCACCTGGAAGCCTGAGGGCCAAGAAAAAAATGTCTGAGGGCCGCATTTGGCCCCCGGGCCATAGTTTGGACATGCCTGATGTAAACACTTAATTCTTAATGAAAACAATTATTCGGAATTAAACTTAATTTCGTAGTAAGTGGGTGGTTTATTCCGATTTGAAAGCTGAATTAATTTATTCCTCAATCATGTAAACGTTTGTTCTTGTTAATAATGATTCCGGTTGTTCAGTGCATGCTCGTTGGGTCGCCCTTCTGACCCGATCCGGACGATCTGGCTCCACCAGTCCTGGCTTCGGACTTTCATCCACTGCTCTTTGGATTTGTGAGCGGGATGCAGGAGTGGGCAGAGGCAGAGCAGCCGTCGACTCAGTTTGTCTTCTTCCTCCCTTCTCCGACACTCTTCCCTTCTCCTCCTCAGCTGACAGACGTAAAGAGTGATGATAAAATTCTCGAGCCACTGCTTGATTATCATTGGAACGACTGCGAAAAAAGTTTGGATCATGTCTGTGTCTGTGGTGTAACGACAAACCGAGATGACAAAAAAGCCAGTAGCAGCTGAAGTGTGTGTTTTCTTCCGGTCGACGTAAATACATTTGTGTCTCTGTCCAATCAGAAACCTTCCCCACCCCTACACACTGAGCGGAATTAAATAAAGACAATTTAAAGTGTTTTCCATGTAAACCTCAAATCTGAATTATTATTTCCGTGTGTAAACTTGAAGGAGAGTACTGTTTAATTCAGAACAATCAATTCGGAATTAAAAGCTTTACTCAAACAAGTGTGAATGAAACAAAACACAACTCCAGTTATGTTTTTGAGGATGTCACAACATTCTAACACGGCTTAAAGCTCACAAGTGTCCATTTTGTGTAATACAGGACCTTTAAATTACATCCACACCGACATAACATAGCCATCTTTCTCCTTCCGCCTCCAACGCAGTGCCTAACCAGCTTGAAAAATGTGTCGAGTTGCTTGTGTTGTCATGGCGGATGAATTGGACACACACAGGAGTGAGTGGTGTACCTGCACTGGCGTGGACACCAGTCATGCAGAGAAATTACCCAGCTCTCCAGCGGGGCCCTTGACTCCCTGTGCAGCATCTGTCTGTGTTTACCTCCGAAAAGGTCTCGTCAAGACACCGGATCAATACTCTGTTGTTAACAAGCAGTCTGCGCTACAGTCCATCCATAAACACTTACATGACCAGACAAGGTACAAAAAAGTATGAAAAACAGCTACATGATACGGCTGTCAACAGTTTGAATACAGATGTAGCAATAACCGAAATATTGTGAAATTGTATCGTCAAAAGTCTCACAATAATATCACGGACCATCACAATATATCGAATTATACGTCTCTTTGCTTTAATTCATTTTTCAATGTGCCAAACAAAGAATCTGTGCATATATTCGCTGCATCATTGTATAAGATGCAGGGTTCAAAGTGTGAGAAAAAAATTTGCAGCTTATAGTCTGGAAATTATTTCAATTCTTTGGATGCTGCCAGAATCAAAGGCTTGTTGATGTTTTTTTTTTTTTTTTTTTTTTTTAAAGGAAAAAAAACTTACATTTATTAAATTACTGCTAAAATACCTAGAAAAACAAGTATTCTGACTGTGAGCGGGGTCGCCTCTCCACAGATCTGACCTGTAACTTGATCTGGTTTGGTTTCCGTGAGGACAGAAAGGTTTAATACAAAGCAATAACATCTCCACAAAGAAAAGCATTTGACGGACCCTCCATCTGAAAAGTTACACAATGCACCTTTAGTTCAAAAAGAGCTAAAAAAAGAAAAAAAAAGAGGGAACTACATAGTCCATGATCCTTTGCTCTGTTCAGTGCAGACTACATGAAAAAATAACTTACCGTAATTCCTGTACTATTGAGCGCACCTGAATATAAGCTGCATCAACTACATTTTACTAAATTATACTTATATAGATGGCACCAGAATATAAGCCGCAGGTGTCCGCTTTTGTCGTCTTTTTGCTTTGAGTCAGTTCATCACGCTGCCATCGCCAACATCTCATCATTGACTCACTGATGTCGAGCTCACGTGCAGCAGCTCTGTTTCCTTCTTAAAGCAGGGGTGTCCAAACTTTTTAAATCAAGGGCCACATATCTAAACACAGACGAAGCAGAGGGTTGATCGAGGGCCATAGACTGGAGCTCAGTACAGGGAATAATTGAAATATGTGCATGTTTAAAGTGTTAGAATGAGCCATCAGTTTTTATTCATGCTAAGAAAACTTAAAACCACACAGTAAATATTAAATAGTAGCTTTATCAAAGTAGATTTTCAAAAAGCTTGCGGTAAAAAGTAAATTTCTAATTGATGCCATGTAATTTGGGCCAATGCACCTGGAAAATTTGTCTGAGGGCTGCATTTGGCCCACAGACCATAGTTTGGACATGCCTGACCTAAAAGCTGCGTCATCTGCATTTCTTCGTGTGTTTTCCATGAGGAGTAAATAACTGTTGAAAGAATGAGAGCCTCGCACATCAGTTACTAGAGATGGTTGCGTTGGAGGAGAGGGAGCAGCCCAAGAACAGGCAAAACCTGACGAAGGCCTAGTGCTGAAACGTTGCACGGTTTGTCCTAGTAAATTTCACTATTTGCAAGTACGATGGTGTGCGTGGATTTTTCTCCATGTTCCCGAGTAAATAACTGTTCAAAACACAATCATCTTCCTCAGAGCATCACCCCCGTCTCTCTCCGTGCACTACTATACATGTCTCCTGCAGAAAGAGCCGCTGTACTCTTTCTGCATGAGACTGGTATCATGTCAGTGTCTTGTAGGATTTCAGCAGATTTCAGGCTAGTTCTATCAATCAGGTATGAGTGGACGTCCGGCTACTGAAGTTTGAGATGTTTCTTTTTGTCATTTTCGCTCTTGGGTAAGACGTATCCCCCTCACCAATGTTCATTTAGCATCATAACTTATTTATCACATGCCGATAAACAGTTTTACTGCTGAAAACATCGTCAGCTAGTGTAGCAACTTCATGTAAACCCTATATCCATGTGTTATCCGCACAGACGGCGACGCTTTCTACTCTCAGGCTGCGCGCATCTGCTGCCAAACCATGGACCATATATATGAATGGACAATGTGCCAAACAAAGGGTCCGTCCATATATTCGCTGCATCGTTGTATAAGACGCAGGGTTCAAAGAGTGAGAAAAAAGCACAGGCTTATAGTCTGGAAATTACGGTAAATGTTAATTCTTTGGATGCTACCAGAGTCAAAGGCTTGTCAGTGTGTTTTTTTTTTAAAGGAAAACCCTTACATTTATTAAATTACAGCTAAAAAATACGTAGAAAAACAGGCAAGTGAGTGGGGTTGCCTCTCTACAGATCTGACCTGTAACTTGGTCTGGTTTGGTTGAAGATAGAAAGGTTTAATACCATACTGTGACAAAGCAATAATATCTCCACGAAGAAAAGCATTTGATGGACCCTCCACCTGAAAAAGTTACACAGTGCACCTTTAAATGTGTAGTTGTTAAATCAGTGTTGTACTGTACTACTACTATTTTATAATGTAGCCTTAATTATGCTTGAAATCAAAGTGACTGACCCTGATCTGAGACTCATTAGCTCCTCCTCAGCTCTCCTCTAATTGGGCTTTAAATGATTCCAACTGCAGCCCGGCGCAGGACTCCGCACTAAGGTGATTCAAAGTAATTAGGCTACTACATGCATATATTTGCCTGTAATTTAAAAAACCATGTTACCATCACACGGTTTTGACACTGCATTTAGCTCATTCTGGCACAAAACAACAATTACCAGGCCAGCCACAACCGCACGCTTCGACAAAATTTGACAAAGACGAGCGGATCTGACGAGTGGAGAGCGGATCTGGAGTTTTGTCTTTGATTTCTGAGGGTGTGATTGACAGGTGGGTTAACCAATCAGAGAAACGCGTGCTCCATTCTCGTCAAAAAACAAACATGGCTGCTTAGACATTAAAAAAACTGAGAAAAATCAACATAAAGGATTGAGAAATAGTGTGGATTTTTACAGAATCAACAACCAAGGCGCCAAACTATTACTTATTTCACGTAAAATAAGGTTTCATAGTTTCTTCTGAATGTTACAAGAATTTTCGAGGGATGTTTTCCACATTTGGGAGACACGTGTTACAAATTCGTGGCAGTTTGGACGAAGGATTTTCATGCTCTATGATCCAGTTTCAGTCCCTTCCGGATTCAAACCGACTGTAGAAGAGAC